TAAAAAAAATAAATAAAAATACATGTGAATAAATAACATATAACAATAATAAAAATATAACGTTCTAATAAAAAAAATACGTCAAATCTATAATGGTTCATAAAAAGTATTTTATATTTAGAAAATGGGCACAAATGTTGTTATATTTTAATAAGTAAATGAAGAATGGTATACTCCAGGGATGGACAACTTTAAGTTAATAGAGGGCCAATTTTTAGAAAACTAAAATTCGGTGGGCCAGAACATAGAAAGCAAAAAAAAAAAAAGTGGTCATTTGAAATATACATTTTAATTAGCATTGATTTTGTTTCTAATGTAGGGAATTTGGAAGAAAAAAGGATTATTAAAAAAAATAAATAAATAAAATATAAATAGTATTATTACTAAGTATAATTATTATAGAATATAGAGTATAGACGATAAACTTTAAAATTGTATGTTGTGATTTGGAAATGTTGGATGGGCCAGATAAAAAAGGCTCCTGGGCCGCCAGTTGCCCATCCCTGTTGTACACTTTGACGAACCAACTATTATCCTTCCTAATTATTATTCTGTGGGAGCATTTTGCGATTATTTCGATAAAAAAATTTTTYGAAGAACAGACTCATTTTCACGATATTTTATTCTACGACGTTATCGGATTTATTCCTATGTCCGAAAGCTGCAAATCGTTGCCCACATTCGTTTTTTCAACGGTTTGAGATTTTATTCATAAAAGCACAAAATATGTCATTATWTTCTCTACAATTTTTATTATTATCTTTCGATAGCAATCAAAYATAACCAAACTCCACCACAAATATCCTTAAAACAATTTTAGAGGTAACTGCAAGATAAAACTTTTTATAAATTATTCATATTTTATTATGTTGAAACAAAAATATCTAATAGAATATAAAAATAAATATAACGTGTGAATCAATAATATTTTAATGCAATTATATATATAATATATACTTTTCAATTAGTGCCGCTATCGTCAAGTAAGTATGTAGATACTCATACAGTTTTGACACCTTTAGATTACGGAAAAAATAATATGATTCTTTTATTTTAAAACTATGATAACAAAATTATTTTAATCTAGTCTAAAATATAATAGTTTAAAGTTCCATCTTTTTTTCCACTACACCTATTATCCAGTCTTTTATACTCCTTTAAAGGYGTAAAGCAAATCGCATTTGCTTCACCTTATATTATATCAAATACTTATTACATCTTATTAAAATCCTTATAGAACCATAAGTTTAGCACCTCACACAAAACCAACACTGTAAAGTCAGCCTTTTTCTATCAGTTATTGAAATTCCGAAATTTCGATATCTAGAAATACGATTATATATATATATATATATAGTTACATACTAACGACACCATATAAAATCTCTAAAATWTATTATAATATAAATCTAAAATTAAATGGTTAAATGTTACGTAGGTAACCTACTTTTAATGTATTTATTACTATTCAATAAACATACTTATATCAACTATAATGATCTAAACTCTATACAACTTTCTTTTTCAAATGTATATTAGGCATGCATTTTTTTGCAAAGAATAAAAATATCGTGTCGAAACTAMAGTAAAATATCATTTTAAAAATAGTATTGTCTATTAGGATTAAAAACTGATATTTTGTAAACGTTTAATCATTTTAAATTATTATTTATTATACTTAACTATTATTAATAGGTTATAAGATATTAATGACCTACCTTATTTGCTTAGGATTCTATCAGTATTTTAATAATAGTGATTTATAATGTTAAGCAATAAGTTTGATTAATTAATTTAAAAATATGCTTTGTATAAGATTTTATATAAATATTATTTTATTTTTTGATTTATAATACTGAACGTTATTTCTGTAGGCATAATATAATGATCTGTTCAATATGTTTTCTTTATAATTATGTTTTAAAAGTTGTATACTATAAAAAAAAATTAACTAT